GTGTGTGTGTGTGTGACTGAGTGGTGGGACAGTGGTGGCACTGTCTCTCTGCTGACCTCCATCCCTCTCTTCCACTCTCCCACTCTATTTCTTTCTCCTTTCTTTGTCCGTCACATTCCTGCTGTTGAATGGATTCGGCGCAGAGCTGCCAGACAATCACACAATTAGAGGTACTAATTAATCACGTTGGTGAGGCATCAGCAACTTGGTAGATTGGTAATATCTTCAGTACACATTCAGTCTACATGGCCAAAAGTATGTGGTCACCTGACCAGACTTCCCAGACTTTCTTTGAGGGCTTTCCACCAGATTTGGATTCCTGGCTGCAGGGATGTGCTTCCATTCAGCGACAAGAGTGTTAGCAAGGTCCAACACTGATGTCGGGGGATAAGGGCTGGCTCTTAGTTGACAGTCCAGTTTATCCAAAAGGACTGATTAAACGGGGTACTGGTCAAGTTCTTTCACGCCAAACTCAGAAAGTGTCCATTTCTTTATGGACCTGGCTTTGTGCACAGGTGTGTTGTCATGGTGACACAGGAAAGGGCCTTTCCAAATCTGCTGCCACAAAGCTGGAAGCACACAGCCATAGCATTAAGATGTACCTTCATCAGAGCTAAAGGAATATAGTCTTAATTCTGAAAAACATCTCTTGACCAAAAGTATATAACAGTATATGGGCACAGTCTTTAAAATGGCTACAATCTAGGGTTGGGTGATGTCTTCAAATTTCCCAGTCAGCCACTGCCAGCCCTACAACCGGCAGTTACCACCACAAGTCGATTGTGTGCCCTGCGCCACCCCCTACCCCCAAATATTTCTCTCAAGAGTTGCTGGAGACCTAAACGAGCTAAAAGGAGACATAGCTACACTGACTTCACTGACATGCAATTCCAAATCTTTGTCATTTCTTTGATGGCTCTGCACAGTTACAATATTTAATACCATAACTGGGTCACTGAGGTCCTCTGGTGCGTGTACTTTGGTTGCACTTTGCTAAACCCTAGCTTAGCTTAGCATAGAGACTG